GGGGGGGTAAAGATACACAGATACACTGATATCCTATTTTATAAAGATCTGAAAGATTAATATGCATAAGAATAATTAACATGTCCTAATTGTCTGTGGTACATTGACTCTCCAGTAGTTAGAGACGTAGCATTTGACAATTTTGTTGTTGTTGTTAAGTGCCATCGAGTTGTAGACGACTCATAGGAACAAGTTAAATCAATATAAAAATTTGTATAGATTTTTTCCAAGTATACATCTTATTCTGTAATGAGAATACTCTAAATAAAATGTCATAATGTACCAAATACTTTTAATTGATTTCACCTATGTTTCAAATTCCTTATTTTAGTTTAGAATTTGAAATAATATCCCTCAATTAAAGTCCACAAGGCTATTGATTAATTTTGTTTAATTTTCAAATAGTATTGACCCAGAGAAAATAAGTTTGCTTTCTTACAGAAAAATTACTGGATTATTACCTAATAAAATATTTTACTATTTTTTATTATTAAATAACTTTATTAATAGGTACTGGAAGTTTGGAAATAGCTTGCCTCTTTTGCCGAAAACACTATGAACTTGGAGAAACAATGAAAGTTATACAAGTGTTCAGTTCTTTCTTATGGCCACTATGAGTCGTCTACGACTTGACGGCCCTTAAGAACAGCAACAACATAGAGAGAGCTCTGTTGGCCTAGTAGATAGAAAGTGATGCTACCAGGTGGTGGGTGATTTTAATCTGTGGTCCTCAGGCCTGGTTTTAATTGTTTTGGGTCAAACATTCTTCTAAGTGGTATAGTTCTGGCCTGTCCATTTGCTGTACAGAGGTAACTCGTGGTTGATGTGATGCTGAACACCGTGACACTGATGTGTCAAATGCGATAATGGTTACCCGTGGTGGACAGTGTTTGGTGGAGCTCCCGATTAATAAAAACTTGGAAATAGGAGTGGCATCCACTTCTGAAGTAGCTTGCCTCCAGAAACCCTATGAACTTGGAGAAATGATGAAAGTTTTACAACTGTTCAGGTCTTTCATTCATAGAGTCGCTATGAGTTGACTACGACTCAATTGCACTTAACAACAACAGCTAGAGAGAGATCATTTGTCCTGCGGGACAGAAAGTGATGCTACCAAGCCAAAGGTTGTTATTGTTGTTGTTGTTGTTATGTGTCGTCGAGTCACTTGTGACTCATAGCGACCCTATGTACAACAGCTCTAAACTCTACTCTGTCCTGTGCCAATCTCATTGTCTCTGACACACTCATTCCAATTGCCCCAGTCACCAAATCAATCCATCTCCTAGAGGGCCTTTCCCTCTTGCACCTGCCCTCCACCCTCCCAAGCATGATGCCCTTCTCCAAGGACTGGTCCATCCTTACAACATGAACAAAGTATGTCAGACGAAGTCTCAGAATCCTTGCCTCCAAGGAGCAGCCTGGTTTAACCCTGTCTAGGATGAATCAGAAGCATCAATTCTCCTTCTATCCTCCCTGGTCATTGTCCAGCTCTCTGACGCATAACAAGTGATTGCAAAGACTATGGCCTATACCAGACACACCTTAGGTGTCTTTAATCTGATGCCTCTTGGCCTGTTTTTAATATTGGATAATTCATGTATCCAGTCACCCGTAAGCCCTGTGCAGGAACTTGGAGAGTCTGGTTGGTGTGGAGTCCAGCCACTATGCCCAGAGTCTGGAGGAGCTCACAGTCTCCAGCATGCACCCACCAAATCATCAGAGAGTCTTCTGTTAAATTCATAAGCCCTGGATTCACCTGATAAGATTTCCCACAATTATTTTAGAGATGGTAGTAGCAAGAGGCTGCACTGCAATCCCGAAGGCAAGCAGTCTGGGCCACCAGCTGTTCAGCAGGAGAAGGATGGTTGATCTCCCTGTGATTAACTGCCTCTACTAACCCACCAGGGGGTCAGCTATGTGTAGATTCTAACAATTGTCATACTTCATATCAATTTCAAGGTACATGGGTAGCAAGAACTAGCAAAGTTTTGATGAAATCCCAGATTTTGACTTCTATCTTTTTATTCCTTCTTGATGTTTTTCAGGATATAAATAAGAATTATATGCCTATCAAGAATTTTGCTTCTTTTTCAATATAACTCATGGAGTGGATTTTAAAAGTCTAGTTAAAAATACTTTATCATTACGGCTTAAAGAACAATATCACAGTTACATCCTGGGGATTTTTGTTACCTTCATATTCTTCTACTGTCCAATTTATGCAAATTTCTTCTTTTTTGAGCAGGGCAATTTCTAGTTTAATTTTTCTGTTGGCAAGAGTTGTTTTAAATCAAGGATTGTTGTTGTGATATTTGTACCTAAGTATATTCTAAATATATAAATATATTGTCTTCTGAAAGCACAGTTAAAGATGTTTTAGGCTCTGATGTTTTAAAAATATTTCTACTAGTTTATTTACAAAATTCAAATACAAATTTGAACAAATTCTTTCAATTTCCCACACCCCACCCATCAAATTGTACAACCCAATGATTAATCTCCCTTTCCCCCTGCACATCCACAACCCTCTGCTTCCAGCCTATCCCACCTTCCTAGATACTTAAGCTCTGATTAAAAAGAGTAGAATGTTTGAAACTGGGAATATTTAGGAAAATGCAGAAGCCAGTCTTATAATAACTATTGGGATTAAGCAAAAGTATTAAAATTTTTAATGTCTATTAGTAGTTAAGAATATTTAGAGGGTTTATCTATTTAAACCAATTTAAATTTTTTTTATAAAAAGATAATAATGTTGGGTTTGTGTGCCATTGCCTTGGAACAAACCCATAGCTGAACCCTAGCTGCTTAAAGAAACATTGTAGTTTCATATCATTAGGCCACCAGAGCTCCCCTAAAGGTTATTGTTGTTGTTGTGTGCCATCAATTTGGAAATGATCCATAACTGACCCTCCCTCCAGCAGGTTTTCAGAGGCAATTAATCACGTGGGAGGAGACTGTCCATCCTTGGAGGAGCTGGTAGGTATTCAAACCACATGCCTTTGAAATAGCAGCACAGCTTCTTACCACTAGGCCATCAGAGCTCCATAATTACTAACATTCATAGTCTTTCCTACTTTGTTATTTTTTTTATTTAGTTCATAATTATAACAATGCCTTGTTGTTGTTTTGTTGTTATGTGCCGTCGAGTTGTTTGCGACTCATAGTGACCCTATGTACAACAGCCCTAAACCGTACTCTATCCTGTGCCAATCCCATTGCCTCTGACACACCCATCCCGATTACCCCAGTCACTGAATCAATCCACCTCATAGAGGGTCTTCCCCTCCTGCACTGTGCCTCCACTCTGCCCATCATGATGTCCCTCTCCAAAGACCTGTCTCTCCTTACAACATGTCCAAAGTATGTCAGGCGAAGCCCCAGAATCCTTGCCTCCAAGGAGCAGCCTGATTTAACCCTCTCTAGGAAGAATCTATTTGTTTTCCTGGCAGTCCATGGTCCATTCAGTACTCTTCTCCAGCACCACAGCTCAAAGGCGTCAATTCTCCTTCTATCCTCCCTAGTCATTGTCCAACTCTCTGATGCATAACAAGTGATTGCAAAAACCATGGCCTGTATCAGGCGCACCTTAGTCTCCAGAGAGACACCGTTGCTCTTGAGTATTTTAGAGAGGTCCCTAACAGCAGACTTTCCCATCGCAATACTTTTTTTTTTTTTATTTCCTGGCTACTGGTGCCAAGAGTGTTGACCGTGGAGCCGAGCAAACTGAAGCTGTGAACAATCTCAATATTTTCACCATCCATCCTGATGCTACCGATTGGTCCAGTGGTGAGAATTTTTGTCTTCTTGACATTGAGCCTCAGTCCATATTCAAGGCTGAAGTCCTTGACCCTCTGCAGTAAGTGCATGAGGTCCTCCTCAGTTTCAGTGAGCAGGGTTGTGTCATCTGCATAACGCAGATTGTTGACATTGCCTTAGGTCTATTTTTAATTAGAATGTAAGCTTCATGAAAATTGTTGTTGTTGCTGATTGCCGTTGAGTGGAGCATGACTCATAGCGACTCTGTGAACAACAAAAGACCTAATGCCTTCTATAAGTATCATCGTTTCTCCAAGTTCATAGAGTTTCCATAGGCATGCGGTTTAGGAAGTGGATGTCACTCCTGCTTCCAAACTGGTCCTACAACTGGGAGCTCCACCCAACACTGTCCACATTGGGAAACCATTATGGTATTTGATATCCCAATGGCACAATGTCCAGTATCACAGCAAACCCAGATTACTTCAGTGCAGCAAATCCACAAGGAGTGATGTACAAAGTAGAAGAGTGTTCCTCGAAAATATAGCAACACTAGTTTCACTTAGCAGTAGTTAATTGTCGTCAAGTCGAATACACTCCACTTATTTATTCACCAATGAATTTAATAAACTTTGTTGTTAAGCGCCGTTGAGTAACAGGCGACTCACAGCGATCCTATGAAGAAGAGTCCTCAACGTTTGGGTGTCTCTCATCCTCTCTCCAGGTTCATAGGGTTTCTGGACGCAAGCTATTATGGAAGTGGATGCCACTCATCCTTCCAAGCTTGTTTTAATTGGGGAGCTCCACCTCACTCTCTGTCCTCATTGGGTAGTTGTCAACAGTGTTCAGGCCCACAGCAACCACAAGTGACTGTGGTACGGCAACTTGTACACCAGGGCTATACAACCTAGAGGAATGTCTGAACAAAAACAATGCAAGACAGGCCTGAGGGCCACGTTAATAAACTTACATAATATATATTTTTTATTGTTAGGTGCCATTGAAATTAATGAATTATTAGAGATAAATTACCTGCCTAAAACAATGATTTGGCTCTGAATTTTTAATACTTCACCTAAGAAGTAATTTGTGCCTTTCTACACAGCAGAATTAAAACTTCTGACACTATGATGAGAAGCAATCAAAGCACTACAGTGACTGAGTTTCTCTTCTCTGGATTCCCTCAGTTTCAAGATGGCAGCCTTCTCTTCTTCATTCCTTTGTTTATCATTTATGTATTCATTGTCACCGGGAATCTCATTGTGTTTTTTGCAGTCAGGATGGATGCTCGTCTTCATAATCCCATGTACAATTTCATAAGTATTTTCTCATTTTTGGAGATCTGGTACACCACAGCCACCATCCCCAAGATGCTCTCCAACCTCATCAGTGAGCAGAGAACCATCTCCATGATTGGTTGTCTCTTGCAGATGTACTTTTTCCATTCACTTGGAAATTCAGAAGGGATTTTGTTGACCACCATGGCTATAGATAGGTATGTTGCCATCTGCAATCCTCTACGCTATCCCACTATCATGACCCCTGAGCGGTGTGCTCAGCTCTCTGCAGGCTCCTGCATCTTTGGCTTTATTGTTTTGCTCCCAGAGATTGTATGGATTTCCACACTGCCTTTCTGTGGGCCCAACCAAATCCATCAGATCTTCTGCGACTTTGAACCTGTGCTGCGCTTGGCCTGTACAGACACTTCCATGATTCTGGTTGAAGATGTGATCCATGCTATTGCCATCATCTTCTCAGTCTTAATCATTGCTCTCTCTTACATTAGGATTATCACTGTGATCCTGAGAATTCCCTCTGCTGAGGGCCGTCAGAAGGCTTTTTCTACTTGTGCAGCCCACCTTGGTGTCTTCTTAATGTTTTATGGCAGTGTATCCCTCATGTACCTGCGTTTCTCTGCCACTTTTCCACCAATTTTGGATACAGCCATTGCACTGATGTTTGCTGTCCTTGCTCCCTTTTTCAACCCAATTATTTATAGCTTGAGAAACAAGGACATGAAGATTGCAATTAAGAAGCTTCTCTGGCCTCAGAAGAAGTTGAATGCATCTGTAAGTTAATGTTAGCTCACAGTTATTTAACATTATGTCATAATAAACCATAAAATTAATTCCTTTATTATCACAATGATATATTTGTCTTTGATTCTAGCTCTTCCAGGCCTAAAGAATACAAGTTTGTTTCTATATATTCAATTGAAGGAAATATAATGTCATTAGATTGTGATTTGTATGACAATTAAGTTTATTATAGTAACAATTCTGGATTATAAAATAAAGAGGTTAAGACTATACAATCTGTAGGTCATTTCTTTGTATTTCAATGTTATCACATACTATTTATGTAATTGTGAGAAAATAATTAAATTCTCTGTTTCCTAATTTCATAATCCATAAAATATGTACGAAAGTACAATATTTTAAATTAATACTGTATATGGTTATAAGAATTGTGCAGTTTTCATAATAAAGTACTGCTTAAAATAAAAAAACAAGTGACAAATAAGTGTGAATTGTTCAGATTATATGCCACTAATTAGTAGTATTTGTTATGCATTTAAAAAATGTTTTAATAGAGTAACATTTAAAATAAGAACACAAATAGGAAAACTTAGTTTATTTTTTCTGGTTTTTAAGCTAAAATATTATTGCCTTCATTTTTTCCCCATTAAAATGTGTACTCTGTATTATCATAAAAATGATTTTCTAAAATGCAAGTTTACTCTTCTGTACTTAGATAACAATTTAAACTCATATATCAAAATTTCATTCCAAAAAACTTCCGATTGAAATAAAGAAGTCAATGCTAAACTTTTATTTCTTAAATACTAAAAATGTTAAAGATACAGTGGCAAAATGTAAACTATCTAGAAATTGAGGAGGGGAGAGAAATGAAGGGGCAAGGAGGGCATAGAGTGGGGAGGGGCAGGAAGCATCGGGGTGGGGTGGGCATGGGAAGAAGGAGGAGTGGGTAAAGGAAGAGAAGAATATGGAAGGGAGGGAAGGGTAAAATAGAAGGAAGAGGAGGGGAGGGAAGGGAAGAGAGTTCAACAGATTTCCAGATTTGAAACATTGAAGGAAGTACTAATCTACCAGATAGTGACTGTATGTGAGAAATGAGTTTAGGGATTAAGTTATGAGGTTCTAGTAAAGCTCACATTCTTTCACCATGCTGCTTGGAGAGTTTATACCCTTGAGAGCGACATCGTGCTTGGGAAGGTGGAGGAGCAGCGAAGTAGAGGAAGACCTTTAGCTAAAGGGGCTGACACAATGACTGCAGCAAAATGCTTGACAACCATGAGATATCATCTCACTCCAGTAAGACTAGCAAAATTTAACAGAACAGCAAGCAACAAATGCTGGCGAGGTTGTGGAGAGACTGGGAACCTGATTCA